AAGGTAATTTTTACGAAATATAATACTCAGTCCATTTGATTTATATTTTTAAATTTTCTTCATATTAAACTCCATTTCACTCAAAGGTGCGCAGCCAAAAATGATAATTTTTTTTTTTTTTTTAAAGAATCAATCAAACTACGATTGTTTAGGAATAAGAGCAATAATAAAATTCGAATTAGAGTTGAGGTTCATCAAAGAAATACCTGAACAAATCATAAATTTCAAAAAATAAAAAATGTTAAAAAAAATTTTTTGGGCCACTTCCATTGAAATTTCTCGTACAAAAATTCTCAATTTCTTTAAAAAATTAGAATTGTTGACAATAAGATTTTTTAATAGAAAATGTATGAATTTTTAAAAGGAATTACAACGTATCAATTTTCTTAATGTTAATTTGGAGTTTTAAAGGATTTTTTTTTCAAATTTACTTTTTAAAAAAAAAATACAAAAAGCAAAAAAAAAAACAAAAAAAAAAATTGAATAAATTTGAAAAAATGATTTGGATTTAAAAAATAGAAAAAAAAATCAGATCGAAAAAATTGAAAATTTATTTTGAGACGAATATTGAATTAAACTCATAGAATATGTTTTATTTTTTCAATAAAACTGGGCCCCTTTGACTGAAAAAGAGTTTATATTTAGTAATTCTTTGAACATAATTTTATTTACAAATTTCTTTCAAATCTAATTAATAAATGAAAATTATGACTTCAAGTTCTAAACTAAACCACAATTCAAAATTTTTAACACACCAAAATTCGATTTGTTAAAAAAAAAAAACTAGTTTCATCAATTCAAGAAGAAATACCAAATTAGAACCATTTGATAATTGGAATGTTAACATTTGTTGTAAAATTACAATACTCACAAAATAAAAAAAAAATAATTATTAATACAAGTAAATCAAGGATGTGTCAAAAATTTTGGAGAGAGCAAAACAAAAAAATACATTGGTAAATTTGTTTAAATTCTATTAGGAATATTGATCGATCAAAAGGTTAGATACCGCCAACTAATTTTATTTGGGTTCTTCTATTTGGAATGACTCAACTTTAACATAATATCAATTGTTGAAAAAAATTTTGATCGAACTAAACAAGTTACATAATTCAAAAAATGAAATGAATACAAAAAACTAAAAGATGAAAAAATGATTTTCATATTTTACAAAAATCAAAATTATTTCCAATTTGAATGAAATTGTATTATTGTGATTGTTTGGAACATTTTAGCTGTGTGGGAAATTTTGAATTTTAGTTTATATTTAACTAATTTTTGTTTGAAAATTCCCAAGATCTTTTCAAAAACAATGAAAAATGAAAATTTTCGAGATTAAATTTGGTTCTTTCTGATTGAAATTTTGATGAAAAAATTTATATTTTTTGAATTTGAATTTAACAGTATTAAAAAAAAAGAATATTTTAACTTTGTTTTTATTTTAAATTTTCAAACAATAGGTTTTTCTGGATAATTCTCGAATTTTGAAAGGGGAATACCTTCTTTACAATATAAGTCTTCATTCTGTTCATTTTTCTCTTAAACAAAAATTGAACTTTCCAGTGGTCAAAAATATGTGTTTTCCGAGCATAAAACTCGTCTATCAAATAAAACCAGTATTTTTATTATTTTATCTTTGTTCCGATACAACATCTAATTAACAGCCTAATGGTATGCCGAAGGCCAAATCAATTTTGTATATAAACTCATTCATGCTTTGTGTAAATTTCAAATTATAAATTGAATTTGATTATCAATTTTTCATAATTTTTCATATTTGTTGTTTTTAATACGAAAAAAACTTATTCTCAAAAATCGTTTCTTTTATTTAATTAAAATATTACATATTCGACCCTTCAACTTTTAGATTTTTTTTTATATAAATAGAACAATAAGAAACCAATATCATATTTACTTATTATTTATTTTCGGTTTTTGGATCAATTAATTCATATTACTAAAAAAAAAAAAGAAACATAATTTTTTAATTTGCAATACACGTTTACTAAGTCTGTGGGTTTTTTTTTTTTTAACAATACCACTATTTTCCAATTTATAAATGAAAATTTTTATTTCAAGTTCACCAAAATTGTTTGATTCATAACTCGTTGAAAAAACACAAAAGATCTTTACAAAATTGATAAGCAATGATCATTCAAGAGATTTGATTTAGTTTCCTTCTTGGGCTTTGAGATTAAATTTTGATTAGGGCCATTTGATTTACACAGTAGTAACAAAAAAGCGGGTATTTATTACTGGTTTCAGTTCTCCATTTGTTTGGGTATATTCAATATACAATGCAAAAACAATGATACAACAAGATGATTTTTGAATTCCTTCTTGAATTTTTGATTATTTTTGTTAGATAAAAATTGCAAAACTTAACAAAAAAAAAAATAAAAATAAAAAAAAAATTATTGTAATCAGTATTTGAAAAAATTAAGTCTTTAAGGAGATCATTGATTTCAGATTTACCTTTTGTATATACCAAGGAATACATTGAAATTTAACGATTTCTCCAAATTTGTGAAAAAATAGTTAAATTTTCAAAGAGTATATTGTACTTTCGCAAAATTTGAACATGAAATTAATGAATATCCTGAAATAAGAAAGAAAAATAAAAAGAAATTCTAAATTTACAGATTTAATGACTTTGTGTGTAAAAAATTTGTGGATATCTTTAATTGGAGAAACTATCTATTTGGTATTTATGTTGAGAAAGAAATAAGAAACTTAAATTCCATAAGATCCAAATGAGATATACAGTCAGTTTCACTTATAAGGCACAAACTTTCAACGAAATTTAAGGCACAATTAAAATCTCAAATTAATACACAAAATTCAGATTCTAGTAAAATAAATTGTAAAAAAAAATAATTACAAATTTTGTACCTTAATTTGAGATTTTTTTGTGCCTTAAATTTCGTTGATAGTTTGTGCCTTAAAAGTGGAACTGACTGTATTTACTTTTTAATATTATATAGCATCACTAATTCAACAATTTTCAAAAAATCAAATTCCCAAAAAAATAATAAATTTTTTTCAAAAGTTAAGATTTTTGAAAATAAGTCCATGCTTATATCTTGGGCTGATATTTTCGGATTCAAGATTTTGTTATTACCATTATTTTATTGTATTTCAAATAATTGTGATTTTTCTTGGTTAATCTTGATCTACTATACAGATATTTCAAAAATAAAAAATTTCAGTTGTATCTTTCCTGTTAGTTTAGAGTTACTGGTTAGAGATTCCCAAATAAATAGCCGATTTGAATTTTTTCAAAAAGGATTTTCTATTTTCAGAGTGGTAAATATGAAAAATGATGATTTGTAATTCTATTTTAACGAAAGGAAGTGGAATGATCGCCCAAGGATGAAACAATTGAAGTAATAAAAAAAAGGGAAAAAAATGAGATTTGCATCCTGAAAGAATTGAACTTCCGACCTTTTCGAATTTGATAAATTGTTTTAATTGAGTGTGAAATGCTCTGCCTTGCTGAGCTAAGGATGCAAATTACATGACTAAGATAGGTCATAACATTGTGGATTCATTGATTCATTCACTTTAATATCCGATGTGGAAAGGGTTTTTTCCTATTTTTTATTTCTTTTGAAATCTTTTTTTGATTTTGCTCAAATTTGAAAAAAATTTAAAAAAATTATTTTTTTTTTGGATCTTTGAATTAAAATTAATTGATCAAATAAAATGTGGAATTTGGAAAGGGGGTTTTATTACTTGTTAAAAAAAAACTTGAATACAAATTATCTTCAATCGGAAATGGTAAAAAATCCTCAATTTCATACAAAATTGAAATTATTTTGTTTATTGATTTTATTTTTCTTTTTTTTGGATTTTTATTTGTTGATTAAAAAAAAAAATTTAAAATGATTCAGTTTATTATTTTTTTTTTTGGAAATCAAAGATTTTGAATAAATTTGATTATTGAGGTTAAACAATTTATAAATAGATACTTTTTTTCAGTTATTGACGAATTAATAAATTTTGAAAAATAATATTAATAGTTAGATCTGAATATTGTTTGTCAAAAAAATTGAAATTATTAAAAAGAAATCATCAGATAATTTTAAAGATTATTTGTTTAACTGTAAAATTAATATTTTTTTTATGAATTAGTAGAAGGGGGGTGAAATGATAACCCAAGGATGAAACAATGGAAGTAATAAAAAAAAAAGGGAAAAAAAAAGAGATTTGCATCCTGAAAGAATTGAACTTCCGACCTTTTCGAATTTGATAAATTGTTTTAATTAAGTGTGAAATGCTCTGCCTTGCTGAGCTAAGGATGCAAATTACATGACTAAGATAGGTCATAACATTGTGTGTTCATTGATTCATTCACTTTAATATCCGATGTGGAAAGAGTTTTTCCTTTTTTTTATTTCTTTTGAAATCTTTTTTTGATTTTGCTCAAATTTGAAAAAAATTTAACAAAAATTATTTTTTTTTTGGATCTTTAATTGAAATTGATTGATCAAATAAAATGTGAAATTTGGAAAGGGACTTTTTGTATACTTGTTAAAAAAACTTGAATATAAATATTCTTCATCTAAAACGGTAAAAAATCCTCAATTTCAAACAAAATTGAAATCTTTTTGATTATTGGTTTTATTTTTTTGATTTTCTACTCTTTATTCGTTGATTTTAAAAAATATTCAAAATGATTCATTTTATTATTTTTTTTTTTGGAAATCAAAGATTTTGAATAAATTTGATTATTGAGGTTAAACAATTTATAAATAGATACTTTTTTTCAGTTATTGAACGAATTAATAAATTTTGAAAAATAATATTAATTGTTAGATCTGAATATTGTTTGTCAAAAAAATTGAAATTATAAAAAAGAAATCATCAGATAATTTTAAAGATTATTTGTTTAACTGTAAAATTAATATTTTTTTTATGAATTAATAGAAGGAGGCGAAATGATAACCCAAGGATGAAACAATGGAAGTAATAAAAAAAAAAGGGAAAAAAATGAGATTTGCATCCTGAAAGAATTGAACTTCCGACCTTTTCGAATTTGATAAATTGTTTTAATTAAGTGTGAAATGCTCTGCCTTGCTGAGCTAAGGATGCAAATTACATGACTAAGAAAGGTCATAACATTGTGGATTCATTGATTCATTCACTTTAATATCTGGTGTTGAAAAGATTTTTCCTTTTTTTTTATTTCTTTTAAAATTTTTTTTTATTTTATTCAAATTTGAAAAATTTTTAACAAAAATTATTTTTTTTTTGGATCTATAATTGAAATTGATTGATCAAATAAAATGTGGAATTTGGAAAGGGGGTTTTTGTATACTTGTTAAAAAAACTTGAATATAAATTATCTTTAATCGGAAATGGTAAAAAATCCTCAATTTCATACAAAATTGAAATTATTTTGATTATTGGTTTTATTTTTCTTTTTTTGGATTTTTGTTTGTTGATTTAAAAAAAAATTTAAAATGATTCATTTTATTATTTTTTTTTTGGAAATCAAAGATTTTGAATAAATTTGATTATTGAGGTTAAACAATTTATAAATAGATACTTTTTTTCAGTTATTGAACGAATTAATAAATTTTGAAAAATAATATTAATTGTTAGATCTGAATATTGTTTGTCAAAAAAATTGAAATTATTAAAAAAAAATCATCAGATAATTTTAAAGATTATTTGTTTAACTGTAAAATTAATATTTGTTCTGAATAAATGAAAGGAGGCGAAATGATAACCCAAGGATGAAACAATGGAAGTAATAAAAAAAAGGGAAAAAAAATATGATTTGCATCCTGAAAGAATTGAACTTCCGACCTTTTCGAATTTGATAAATTGTTTTAATTAAGTGTGAAATGCTCTGCCTTGCTGAGCTAAGGATGCAAATTACATGACTAAGAAAGGTCATAACATTGTGGATTCATTGATTCATTCACTTTAATATCTGGTGTTGAAAAGATTTTTCCTTTTTTTTTATTTCTTTTGAAATCTTTTTTTATTTTATTCAAATTTGAAAAATTTTTAACAAAAATTATTTTTTTTTTGGATCTATAATTGAAATTGATTGATCAAATAAAATGTGGAATTTGGAAAGGGGGTTTTATTACTTGATCAAAAAACTTGAATATAAATTATTCTTCATCTTGATGGGACAAAAATCCTCAATTTCAAACAAAATTGAAATCTTTTTGATTGTTGGTTTAATTTTTTGTTTTTCTACTCTTTATTCGTTGATTTAAAAAATATTCAAAATGATTCATTTTCTTAATTTTTTTTTTCTGTCTTAATCCTTGAATTAAAAAGGGACTAAAGTGTGAAAAACTAATAAAGGGGTGATTATTTTGTGGTGTATTTCAATTTCTTATTATTCATTTAATTAAAATCATTTTATTTTGTAAAACGTTATTTTGTTTTTTCATATTTTTTTGAAGAAAAAGATTCTTGTGATTAAATTCTTCTTCTTCAAAAAAAAAATCTAAGAAAAAAAAAAAAAAATAAAAACTTACATTTCATGAGATTGGACAGTTCCTTCTTCACCACAAATTGAAAAATATAATAAATTGGACAAATAAAATAGCATAAAATATTCTATTGAACAATAATGATTACGCTTCATTATTTTGGACTTTTCTTACAACAAGATAGCGCCATTTTGAAGGAATTTCATTCTTTTAATTGGATCTTCTTTAAAAGACGATGCTTCAAAGTTCAGCCATTCTTTTCTGAGTTGTTGAAATGTATTTTTCACGAATCACTTTCAATAACAGATCTTCAATTTTAAAAACACGTTTTTATTTTTTTTTCATAAAAAGTTGTCTGTTAAAAAATTAACACAAAGCCTCCAAAAAAATGGTTGAACAATAACAGCGCTTACAAACACAAAATGCTTCGGATCGGTTTGGATCAATTCCATTTACGCTTATTTGTGTCTTTGTTTGGATATTTTTTGTATTGAACCAAATTTCCTTTTTGGTTTTTGAGAGTTAAATTAAGTAGCAGAAGAAGGTGAGTTTTTTGTTGTTTTTCTAACAATAGCTGAAATAACAAAAAACATTTTCTGATTTTCGAAATAAAAAAATGAAAAGTACGTTTGAAAACACATGATCTTAAACTATTTCTGAAACAATAATAGAACTTTATAGTTTCTCAGACTTTTTCTTGACGTTTCCAAGTGTGCAGTTTTTACATGATGGTTTATGAGGGCAGAATATAATCAGATTTTTATCAAGGTGTCAATTAATTACATTTTAAAATGGAAAATGAGTCTTTTATTTAAAATAATTAAGGGGTATAAATCTCTTTGCAAAAGAATTAAATATAAAAAGAGATATTTTATGAATTGTATACAACACTTTCTAAGTGTAAAATTAGGAAGTCACTCGTAAATATAAAAAATGTCTTCAAGTGAATCTAATTGCCAATTCAAAAAAAACTAGAAATCTTGAAATTGAAAAATAAAGTAAAAATCTGATTATTAGAAGACCAAAATTACTTTTAATTCTATTTTCAAAAATAAATTATCCTTCTGAAAAGTAACATTCATTTTTCTCATTTATACATTAGTAAAAAAATCAAAATATTTTCAACTTATTAGATAGAAAAATAAATTATTAAAGTCGAAAAAGAAAGAAAACAAATTATCTGTAAAGGAAGTGTACAAAAATAATTTTAAAAAAAAAACCATAAATTTTTAGAATAACCCAGGATAAAAAATCTTCTAAAGTTCAAAAAATTACAAAAATTATTTTAAACTTGAAAAAAAATCTTATTTAGTATTTTTTGATATAAAGAAAAGTTTGAATAGAATTTTTCTTTTTTTTGAATAAAAAATTACAAGAAAAATACTCAAATAATCAAAATAAAAATTCCCCCAAAATACTTTTTTTAAACCTGGAAAATTCAACTTATTCTCTAAAGAAATACTTTTTAATTTGTTTAATATTAATCAATAATTAATTGCCTCTTATAAATTACCCCCAGTGGGTTAGTTATAACTTACAGAATAAAACCTATTAATAGGAGTATTTTATTTCTCAATTTTTTAAATATTTTCAAGCAAAAAAAAAATTAATTCTAATAAAAAATTCTATTAAAAATAGAGTTATAATTATCAAATAACTGATTTTAATGCTAAGATTTTTCTTGTTTATACTCTTAATATTTCAATATATATATATATATATATATATATATATATATATATATATATATATATATAATCTAATCTTTTAAATTTCAAGAAATTTAATAAATGCATTAAATGAAAGAAATGATCAATTTTTAGGGATCATCTTCAAGGATTTAATATTTGATTTATCTATATTGTATTTGTAAAACAAGATTTAAGTTTCAAGGTTATATGTTCAAAAAAATCCCAAGAATGACATAGATTAGATTTCTTCAAAATAAAAACTTTGGCAAATTTTTCTTCTTCTGAATTGTTAGATCTTTAACTTTTAAATACGGAAAAGACTTTTTACTGAAAAAATCACTTGGAAAAATAACTTTTTTTAAAATCATAACTCAACATTTCTCTATAGTTGAAAGATGTAGTTGCTTATCGGGTTCTATTGTATCTTTTTCTTAAATAATTACTCCATTAACTTTGGAAAAAAATGCATTAGAGTTACTACCCCCTTAATAGGTTTTTCAAAATTATATTAGTTCTCTTACTTTTTAACCTTACAAAAAATTTGCTAAAACAATCAAAAAAAAAAATGAAATGAATAATAATTTCAATTCTAATTTCGAAGAAAAATTTAAATAAAAAAGGTAAAAGTAAATTTTACTTGATAAATTAATTTATTTCACAGTTCAGAAATTTCTAGGTTTTTAGAATAGACAAAAACTAAATTCATTTAAAAAATACTATAATCTTTTATTTCTAATTTTTCATTAACAAAATTATATAATTAATTTAGATAACTTTATTACAAACATTGTTATTAATAAAATAATATAACCAAATTTCAATTTGGACAAAAAAATTTATACAAAAAAAAAAAAAAAGAAAGAAAGAAAGAAAATTAATACTTTATATTTTCAAAACAATTGAGCACGATTATTTATAAATTGAAAAGCAAATTAAACAATTGTATGGTTCTTCAAGGAAATATATATATAATAAAAGTAGCATAAATAACTTTTTGGTATATATATATATATATATAACAAAAAATCTTTTACTTTATTTATCAAAGAAAAAACTTTTATATTTTAATTCAAAAATTTAAAGAGAATTATGGTAACTTTAATCACAAAATAACCATAAATGAGTTTTTTAAATTAATATTTTAAAAAAAATTATCATTTTTTACTTGATGATCACTAAAATCTATTAATTGGTTTCTCTTGTAATTAAACAGTGAAATTAATCAAAATTTTCGGGAAAAAATATATATTAAACCATATTTTAATATTTATTTAAAAGATTTTTTTAAAAAAATGTTACCGTATTTTAAATTAATAATTTAGTTACAGTCATTTTCACTTTTAAGGTACAAACTTTCAACGAAATTTAAGGCACAATTAAAATCTCAAATTAAGGCACAAAATTCAGATTCTAGTAAAATAAATTGTAAATAAAAAAATTACAAATTTTTTGCCTTAATTTAAGATTTTTTTCTGCCTTAAATTTTGTTGATAGTTTGTGCCTTAAAAGTGGAACTGACTGTATTTTATTTGGTTTTTCTAATTAAATGATACTTTTATAACCAAAATATTCAAATCCTAATTTTTTCAAGAAAATTCCTTGCCAAAGAAATTCTCGAACAACTATTAATTGATATACCTATATTGATTTGTGGCATATGAATCTATAAATTTATATATTATTTTCAGGGTATGATTTTCTCTTTAGAAATGCGATTTTAAAAAATAATTATAATTAGTAAAAAAATCTAATAGATAAATATTAACATAAAAAATAGCTATTTTATTGGTTTTTATACTTTTAAAAAAAAATCAAAGGTTTTTTATTACAAAATTTTCAATAAGATTAATGTTTTAAAATATTGATCACTAAAATATTTGTAAAAATTTTTTTATTTCCACTTTAATATATCTAGATTTATAAACATATTCAAAAGTTCCTTTAA